TGTGACCAGGCGACAAACCACTAACAAAGCGCCAGATCTCGGCAAACCGCATAAGAAAAGACAATTTGGACAAGAAAACGAAGAACGGGGTTAAGCGTTAACCGACTTACTGGAATCGGTTCCCGTGGAGGCAGGTCCGGGGGCAACGGGGCTTTCCGTGGGGGGGCTTCCGGCCGGGCCGGGGCTTCCGGTGGTCGGGGGGGGAGTTGACCCGGCAGTAAACCCGTTGCTAAACGCCGTTGACGGGTCGGAGGGGTAGCTCGCAGACGCGGTGTAGCACGTGAAGGTGTCGCTGGAAAAGCAGTTGAAGCCTGGGGGGGAGAGGAAAGGAGTTTAGGAGCTGTTCACGAAGACGAAAAAGTTGACAAAGGGGACCGCCACAACCGGTGGCAGAAAAACGTGTTACCTGAGGTAATTGCTGTTCTGCAATCAAGAGGGCAGCTAGTGCTGGCGGCACGAAATGATTCTCGCTGATTATTCCGGCTGGAAAAGTGTTCATCACTTTATAAGGTAACGATTGCTAAGTGTGTAAAGATCCCAATTGAAAGGGATTTGTGGGCGGAGGAGTTGAGGCAGGTGTTGAGAGACAGTAGAGGTTTACTGAAGAGCTTGAACGAGTGCAGGTTCTCCCGTATTCACTTCAAACAGATTGCAGCATTGAGAAAAGAGACAGGGGAGGATTCTGCTCGAGGAATTAGGAGGTCGTACAGCATTGCAGTCTTCGCATGTAGTTCACTTTTGGGGGACCTCACGTGGTTAAAATCCACAAAGCTTCAATTCTGGATGTTTTAACAGAGGCTTAACCCAGCGGGCTCGGCAGCAGCAGTTGTTGATCGCCCTTGAGTTGCTTGACAGTGGCTGCTTCTTTGACGAGGTAACGAAGAAAATATGAACTAGCTTGGGGATCTTAGAGATCGGCTTCGACCCCAGATAGCTCGAGTTAGCCTTAACCCACCTAAAATCAAGTTGATGCAGATAATTCAAGTCAGTCTTAACCCACCTGATGGGCAACAGTAACCGGTAGTTCCGCCAGCTGTGTAGCACGTGCTCCCCATGGTGGGGCAGGACTGAAGCAGAACGCGGCCCGCCGTCACTGATGACGTCAGCGCCAGCAGCAGAACCAAGGGGGCAGCTGGGAAGGAAGACAAGTGACGGCTTAGGCATAGGCTATGGCACTCGGAGAGAGAGGGTTAGCTGCTGGAGATTAGTGCGGGTTTAAGGATGGGGTAGGGACTGTCAGGTGAATACTGCCTGTGTTCCTGATGAGGTCGGTTGTGAGGAAGAAAGTATCCTTGAGGTTCGATCTGGCGAGATCTGAGGACATCCGGATAATGAGAGGATGGCAGCAAAGAGAAGAGGGTAGGTGAAGGGACAGCGGAGATGCCAGCATTGCTCAACGGTTGCTTCTACAGCATTTAGAGATAGCTGTAGACTGTGACGAAGTTCTTCAGATCTGGGCTTGAGAGGTTCATATAGAGACAATCGGCACAGGCAGAGGAAGTGAGGAACGCAGCATTGTCTTCATTGATAACCTGTCCTCACAAGACCGCAAATGGTCCTGAAAAGACCCAATGTATGGTGATGAAATGACTCAATCTGGCGATTTAATTCCACAGTAAATTAACCCATCTGTAAATCTGGTAACAAATCTGCGTTGGCGCCAACCAATATCTGGCTTTAGGCAGACCAAGGGACTGCTAGGAGCATTTGCACACATGCCAGAGAGTTCAATCATCGCAACATGTTAGTCGGGGGCGGGCGCCAATTCCAGCTACAACCTTAGCTAGCTTGTATTACAGAAGCAGAGTCGAGATTGCAAGTGCACTTTTTCTTCAGGATTTCAAAAGATGTAAGCTTTGCTAACAGATCGACTCAGACTGTGCGTCACGTTCAAAGAGTCTGAGTAAAGCTGTGAGTATTGTGGACAGGAGACAGCTTTGACCCCACACTTGGATCAGTCTGTGGCAACGCAGTACTGGCGGCATAAAAGGAACTGCGCAAGCTGCAACATGCAACTCTTTCTACGAAACCAGATTGATTTAGGGAAGACATGAGAGCCCCATCTGAAATTGAGACGTCAGATCGTTGGTTTGCGAGAGCTAGGCTTTGCTGATGAGGAAGACAGCTACCTCCTGATACCCGGGATCCTTAAAGCAGCTCATAGTACATGCTTAACAAGTGCATAAAGCAGTATAAGAGACATACCAAAAAAGCAAAATGATGAGTGGAGCCCAAAAGCCAGTTCACAAGCACACCAGCATGCAGCTGAGCTGAAAACACGCAATGCCGTTGACATGAGACTCATCTGATGGATTTCTACATGCCACTGATGTGGAACTCGGCTACAGCAGATTCACAGGCAGAAATCATAACTAGTGCTAGTGAACAACAAGCTGAAACGTTGAGTGTGAACTGAAGTTTAAACCTAGAACACGTCTCAAAAGCTGCTCTCTAAAGCTGCTAGTTCTCAGCAGCTCGTACAAAATCGTGCAATCCAGATTTGTGACAGCAACTCCGTGACAGCACGCAGCAGATATTCAGCTAGCTGCGACTCCTGTGCTAGCATCACGCTAGCCCAGCTGAAAGCACACCTGAGCTTGTGGACGACAAATGACGACTCCTGCAGTGCTGACTCATTGAAAGCGCACCAGCTTGTGGATCATGAATGACGAGGCTCTTGAACGCAGGGCTGTCCTCTTCAAGGCGACCAACGGCAAAGCACTCACCTCGGAGTACCGCCATTTTCAGTGCTGACGTATGAGGCAGCAGGGTCTGGTGGTAGTTCACACAGTTGACGTCAGCACTTGTCTCATCCAACCGTCCCACTCGTGAGCGGCACTGCCTTCGATTGATGCCCACAGTTTGTGAAGCTGGCAAAAGCTGCGCCACTTTGTGTGTGGAAAAGACGATTCGACTGAGGTGACAGAGCTCCAGATCGATCCAATTAGCTAGGAGCTGGCGCAGATAAGGAATGGCCTGCTTCAAAGGAGGAGCTGGGAATGACTTTCACGGTTCACCCTTAGCTTCACTTGATTTTTAGCAGACTGGACATCCGACATACTACCGTACTGCTATTTGATTTCGGCACCTTCGACGCCGAAAAGTTAATGTTGAAACGTTTATTCCTTTCGGCAGAGCTAGTGTTACCTGCTAAAAAGTACCATTATCGACCATTATCGCTCCAAAATATTTTCCAGCGGAATTCGGCAGGGCACATAATTATTTATTTTTTGCCGAAATCACGTAGCAGTACGGTAGTACTACCTAGATTTTTTTCTGGGATAGGCACATTACTACCTAGGTACCGGCCGTGACAAAGTATGCCTGCTGAGGAATGGATGACGTACTCAGGCGTCGCATACGCTCCGGCCGGGTTCAATCGCAGCTGCGGCGGGCCGGTTAGATTCTCCAATTAATGATTGGGGATATCGACAGCACATGCATCACGTGTCACGGAGTTACTGATAATGGGCAAATTTTTTTGACGTTTCGCAGGTTGCAACCGGTTGCGGACAATAGGCGGCGGGACGCCCCGGTTGAAGCGCAGGGTTGCAGTGTGCATGACTGGTCGGTTGTAAGACCGGCCAATCTCATGACGGCCGGTGACGGCTCTTTCATACCCCGAACAAAACCGGTCAGCGTTCTGCATACATATCCAAATGGGCTAAGCTTCGGTCTTAGCTTAAACGGATCGTCAAAAACTAGACAAACGGCATGACAATATGAGACAGACATACAACCGACCGCCCAACGGTTCGGCCGGGGTACTTGCAAGTGTGCTTCGCGAAACAGGACCGGCGCGACAAACTTGCCCTGGTTACGTGCACGCGGTCAATCAATTTCAGTGTGCGCGCATAAAGTGAACCTTCAAACCCCCGGTGCGGCCGCGGCTCGCGGTACACAGGCGATTCACCAATTTTGCTTAGCGGAAGCGTCAATTCTGATTGCAGAACGATCAATACTTAAACCGAAAGCGTCCCATACCGCTTTTGGCAGTCCCCCGTTCAGAAAAACTTACTAAAGTGATGTCCGGATTGCTGTCTTTACTGATCAGTCACTGTGACTAAAGCAGTACACTCATTTGCAACGGCAATTCTGATTGCCTCACTTTACTGTATAGAAATTATACACTCGTGTGCATTAAGCAGATACGACACCCAATCACGTTCAAAAGCATTTGCAGAGCCAGCCAATCTTCCACACTGCATTCAATACACTTACTAATCTGTCTCAGTCATGCTGCGCAACTGCGCCCCACATATGCAGTTTCCCAGTCACTGGGAAGTGATCGCACGCCGCGCCTTGCAGGAGTCGTCACATTTGCTGTGGCTTGGAGGCTGAGGGGAGAAGCAATTGAATTGCAGAAAGTGCTCTGGTCGTAGTACTTGAGAACGGATCGTCTGGTGAAGGAATTCCAAGGAGAGGTCACTTCTACTGCTGGAAATACTGTGTGGCGCTGTTTGAAGTGAAAGCTGGAGAATGTTAGAAG